TTCGTGATAATTCATTTTAAAAGAAGATATAGCCGTGACTCGTATATGACACAGCTGCGTAATTATTCGGAATTATTAAAATGCGGAAATCAAAATGGAGTCACGGACGATTAGAAAAATGCATGCAAGGGCGCTCACGGAATTTGCAACAATTGTAATTAAAGTTCGTGGATGTAACTCTCATTCTCTCTGGACGATGAAAAATTATCAAGCGATGAGAGGGTGTTCGGATCGGAGAAAAAAGCTTGAAGTGTGGGCGATGTTTATTCGATCATCGATGACGGCGTAATGATGGCACAATTGCAGAATATCTCTCTCATCAAGGATTATCTCTACAGGTACGTTACACCTGTTTTCCTCATAATACGAAGGAAGAAGGCGATCAGTGATGAATAATGACGATGGGTGAATGAATCAATGGCTGTATGAGTCTTGTAATAAATTTATTATGCCGCATTTAATGTATGAAATGGAATAATGATTACGAATGATCGCATGAATTTATGCGTGATAGTGAGCGATTCGATGAAACAGATCGTGGCATTTCGATGGTAATACATAACGACGCGATATGAGATGATCAAAGTGTCAGCGAATCGACGAATGAGTTTTTAAAGCGAAACCAAAACAATGATCCTATAGGATGAATGCCACGATTGCGATAGATGACACGATGCGATTAATGACAATGATTTATGGACAATCTCGTGATTTACAACTAACAAACAAATCGTCGCCACATATTGGTGACGATTGTGCGTACTTTAGCATACAGCGACGCTGCTTCGACATATCAGGAACGGTTTCGCTGAAAATCTCCAGGTGAATTATCGTCTGCGAATATCAGTCGCACTTGCGAGCTCTCGGAATAGAAGTTAAAAATTACGAAAATCGCGCTGCGATTTTTTCAGCGAGGCCGTTCACAAAACGATCCCACTGTTGGAATCCTTTTGACCGATTATCAGTATTGTGAAAAAAAGGAAACGAAGTCGGTTTCGTTGTCATTCGAAATTTCATTCTTAGCCCCGAACAATTAATTTCGTCAATATCAATGACTGCTCTGATTGCACTTAATTATATATAGCTTCCTCTTTGTTTAAACTGTCATACGTACAATCGGCTCGTCTTCGACGAGGCGCCAGTCCACGAGGAAAGATAACGTTTTTTTTTTTTTTTTTGAACACCACTTTTGGATTTTCCCGGAGCTGCGCCTCGGCCGATCGATGGAGCTTTATATTGCACAGATGCAAGGCGAATAAACATCGCGCGCACTTTACGTCGATCTCCAAATTTATATATCGAGAAATATCAGCAATGGATATCAGAAAATTATGAAAACTGGTAAGGATGATAATATGAGTGATAGAAATGCGGCAAGTCTTCAAAACATATCTCCAAAGTAATAGTACAGGTGACAAGATATAGAATTAAGCAGACTTCTTTTTATCAACGTCCACATTGCTAATATTTCCAAGGCGACCTAAACGTGAGTAAGGAGAAATTTATATCGTTAAAAAAAGTCCGTATTTCTTACGACGTGCCAAGGAATATGACAATTCTCATTGGAATTAAACGGAACGTTCGAGCTACCCGAGCACGCAAAGCGAAACTCGACGCTTATGGTGCTCGATACCACCCTTCGTTTCGTCACCGCCGGCTTTTCCGGTCGGTTTGCTTTCCATCCGGCCGAGCCCTCTCTCATCCCTCGCGTCGCCCTGCCGAGAATACCGTTTTCTCCGCGAACAATTCCGCGCTATCCCGAGAGGACCCGTCGTCGAAGTACGAGGATCCAGCGCCGATGGAATCGCGCGACTCGCGATCCTCGAGAATCCACGACGACGAGTACATCCTGGCCACTTCGCCGACGAACGAGCAATAGGAGATCCCCGCGACACCGTACTTCGAATACCCACTCCCGAAGATGGTCGACGCGAGTCAATCTACGATAAAGACTCGCGTGTATATATCTGCTTGAAATTCGCGACTATACTCCGTGGATCGGTTCGCCTTGTATACACACAACACACACACACACACTCGAATACGGTGCCGCGAAAACGACCTAAATAATAACGTCGTTGATCCCACGACATTATTTTTCCGCCCTTCTCGCAACAGTACTCGATCCCCATTATCGCGCGCCGATCGTCGTCCGACAGATTGAGCCGCGTTTAATTATTCCAGCACGCGTTTTCCCGTCTTCCGCAATCTCTGCCCTTCTCTTTCCTTTTCTCGCGCTCTCTCTCTCTCTCTCTCTCTCTCTCTCTCTCTTTCTTTCTTTCTCTCTTTCTTTCTCTCTCTTTCTCTCTCTCTCTCTCTCTTTCATTTTTTACGAGTATAAGAGGGTACGAGCGCTAGTTAGTAGTACAATAATATCGATAATGCGACTAATGGTTAAATGTAAATCGTTTAATAAATGTAATATCGTTCGTCCATCGCAGAAATCAGTTAGAAACCGCGAATGTACCGATCTACTTCGAGGCTCTCGTATCTCTTTCGAGATGTTCCGCAGGATGCCTTGACATATCCTGCCATATCCGGGAAAGACTGCGCGTCCCACGGGCGCGCCTATGCGATTAGCGAGGTGTGCATCGAGTGCATCGGAGATTCGAGCGGATCAGGTGCACGAAGAGTGCACTGTTAAATGTAGGTGCGTTTTTATTTGTTCATCATTAATTCTCTGCGCTCTCCTGGCACAGGGCACAGACAGTCTTCGCGATTTGAAAAAGAGCCAATAAGTTCAATTTGACAAAATTAAAAAAATGTCTTTTCATCGAAAAGCTTGATATGTGACATGTAAATAAAAAGCGTATCTGCCTCTAGATTATTTTTTTAATAAAAAATAAGAAGAGTTATCCCCGAATCGCGCGATACAAGGATACCTTTGCAAATCGCATAGGACAAGCTGGCGCGGATACGTATGCTTGGTATATATGTACCGTGTGTGTATGCGTTCTAGTTCCGCGTTTGTGTTCCTTCCCCTTCTCTGAAGTTGTCGGTAATTATCATACTCATTATCATCATCATAGCGATATAACTAACAACGATTATTGAGACATAAATACAATACACATAATGTATATCTAACGTATATATAATAATCGTATGTAATATTATATTTAAGTAGATTAGCGTGCCTCATTCTCCCTTTCTCTCCCTCTCGCGCTTTCTCTCTCACTCTCACTCTCTTTCTCTCTTTTCAAACTCGCCTCTCTCCATCCTTTCGCCTACGACGTTAATTCGGTCGACAAATCGTTGCGAGCGAGTCGGCACCCCTCAAGAGTGGGGTAGGGCTCGCATCACTTTATAATCGTTCGGTCGTCGTTCTTTCCTCTCATCGCATTTCGCTCACCTCAACCTTGAATCGTCTTGATCCTCACGTCCACGTTTCTCTTTTCTTTTCTATCCCACCCTCATTATTATTTAACATCCGCGTCTCGAGCGACGCGTCTCCCTTCGGACCATTCGGACGATCGGGAGCGAATCCAGAAAGATGTCTCTCGGACTTCAAGGATCAACGAGTGCTCGATCGCCAATACTCGAAGTAACCAAGTACTATATTAAGTTATCTTACTCATCTTCCGAATTATTTGTCATTGCGGAGGATACGCAAAAGTAACTTTACTCGAATTCGCTGCTGGACTCCCGGAAATTCGACTCCCTTTTATCCAAAGTGAATCACTCGAACAAGTATCCGTAGATCGTCAGATGATTTTGTCCTTTGAAACGGCAGGAGTAATTCGATGGTCGTATATCCGGATGTCGATGTTGGATCGACGTTGATTCACGGAGTTTGTTTCGCGAGACTATCGTCTTCGCGAAAAATCCATTTCGCGCGTAGACTATCAGTATAACAAAATTTATATTTATTTTTACAGTATGGAGATCACTAAACGACTCGATTTTCTGTTTTCTACTTCGTATCGAGTCTCTACAATGCATTTGTTCCGATCGCACATTCTTTGGAACGTACATAATGTAAAGTTCCGGGCTTAATAAATGGAATATTAAGGACTAGCTTAAAACTTGAACTACGCATAGTAATTCCTGGACCATTCAACGCGCTGTCGTGAACGCCGCCAATGTTATGTACTAAAAATGAATCTTTCTTTCAAAACTCCCATCTCGTACTAAGAGATACGCAATAACATCTTTCGTGAATATATATATATATCGAGTGCAATCGAAATCGCCTCCGAAAAAATCAAAGGATTTTTAATAAAATTAAAATGCGCAATTCGGTCGCATTCGTCGTACTTATGGCGGTGTTCGCGACTATATTAATAGTATAAATAATATATATATAAATAATAAAGACGCTACGAACCAGGATCCATGAGCGAAGTCTCGTGCATCGAGGTCGAGCGGCTCGCCGTTTTTTTTTTTATATCGCTATTACATCAGTCTGTAACTCGTGGAATGTCAGGAAGAGATCGTGGAATGTCGATGAAGAAGGGTGGGTCGGAGGAGGGATGAATCGGCGATAATCGTAGGGAAGGTCGGGATGCCGGGTGAATGGCAACTGAAACATTTTTAATAGAAATAAAACAAACGACGTTTGAACCAAACACAAATCAGTTTAATCCTTAAATAAAACATAATAAGTTGTTATGTTATTTAATAATTAAATAAATAAATAAATAGTCGGTAGTAAGTAGTAGTAGTAAGTGGTAGTAGTGGTGGTAACACAGCAGTAGCAGTAGTAGCAACGTAATAGTTATAGAGCGATTGGCAGAAAGTGGCGATAGTAGAGCGATGTTAAGTGAGCAAGTGAAGAGTGAGTAAAGTACTTCTTTATATCTTTCTCTAGTATTGTTATACAAGAGTAATGAGGTGTTAAAGATTACACGTAGCTACTAGACAAAAGACACAGAAAATATACACGATCATAAGTAATAATAATAATAATAATGATAATTAATAATAATAATAATGAGACGATGACGATGGCAATAATAATAGTAATAAGAATAAAGTATAATCATAATAATACGGCAATAATAGCGAGAAGGAGAATAATTATTATATTGGCAAATGTATATTCGCATGTGTGTATTATGAAAGAAACGTCCCGAAAAAAACGGACGTCTCGCTGATACCGAGAGGATGCGTCGAAATATAATTAATATCTCACGTATACGCATGAAATTCCAGCTGTCAAGCCGTGGTCTCACTTTTCACGTGGTACCAATACGCCATTAATTTACTCCCTATCGATAACGATCTATTAATATTCTATCGGTGCTCGCGTAACAAATATTACGCGAAATATACATCTCAAATTGCGAATAAAAATTACCGTTCGCTTACGCAAATCAATCGAGGGTAATATATCCACCTCGTATATATCTGCATATACAAACGACGCGTTACGCTGTACTGTTTACTGTATTCGTATAATAGTGTCGTGATATAATTATGAGCGATGAAGGGGGAGACCAATCGTCGTTCGAACACCCTCCGATCAGCGAGTTTGCACTTACGCGGCGACGTTTTAATGCCCGTCGACGCCTTAATTTGCACTAACGTTCGAGATCCTGGCGCCTCGCGCCGACGTCCCGGCGTCCTTTGTCGAGAAAGGATCCGCGCGTGAATCGGCGGCGGCTCTGAATAAATAAAGTAATGTCTTAGAAAAAGAAAATCCACAACGTTCGTGGGAGTCGTGCGACTTCTCCGAGAGACGATATCATTCGTCCTCGCGTCTCCTCGCGACTCCCGGACTAGACACTAAGGTACTCATTATTATTACCACATACATGTTTAAGTGTTTTTTTTTTTTTGGTTTCTTTGACTAAATCTACCCTTAATCGAGTATCGCTTTACTCGCAATTAAGTACGCGTAATCCGCGTCCTCAAGCTCGTCTCGCGCCATCCGGAGATCTATAGATCGTTTTCCGTTCAGAAGTCGTCGCGATCGCCGGATCAAGGACCGCTGTCTCTGCACTTGTGAAAGATCACTCGGGAGAAGTGACGGAAGCGGGTGTAGAAAATCACTTTAATAATGTAATCTCTACGCGTAATCGGAGAGAATCACCTTCGGAAAGCGATTTCTGAACTACTTACAATCGCGGAGAATCATTCCTTGAGCTGCGGAGAATTGCTTCAGAATTTTGTCTGTGAATACAATCACCGTTCGATAAACCGAATCGATCTGTCGTCATTCGAAAGGATGGCAACAATAATCGCACGAACGAGCCTGAGGATCCGGCTCGCCTGCTTCGCGCCATTTTACTTATCATTAGCCGCGCTCGTCGTTGCGTCCGCGCCTCCAACTTCCCGATGTTCACCGTCGTTATCTATCCTTTCTTTAAATGCGAAACTGCGCTGACGACGCGGCAACTTGCACGTTGACTAGATGCGTAATTCCTTAATCTGACCTGAGATCGAACGTCAATCATTGCAATCTTGTCATTAATCCGTATCACATACCGATCGCATGCACCGTCCTCGAAGTACATGCAGGAACGAGAGCTTTTCTCTTCCAGAATTTCAAAGTTCTAAAGAGGTCCAATTTGCAAAGTGCATAACTTTTTTTTGTAATACCGATATTTTTAAACAAGAACAATATCAATGTTCTATGACACAAAGATAAAATGACGGATGTTGCAATATCCATTTCTTCCGTCTCATAGAACAATATCGTCTCCTCTCGTTGTATCTATGCAATTTTGAATATTCGTGAATCTTTCCCAAGCGACGAAACGTGCAATGTTAATCAACGACAAAAAAAAAAAAGGAAAAATTAAACGCGACACGAGCGATCATACGTTCTGAATTATTATCTGACGTCTCACGTATAAAGTGTAAAAGTTATATGCATATATTTATATATGCAAAGGTTAAAGCATTTTTAATTTCTATAATCAAATAAGAAACCCGTTCTTCCTTTATTGTTATTTGTTCCTGACATTTATGAAATCCCTCGTAAGGAATAAAAGGATTGACGACGCGTGAAACTATGTAACATCTTATAAAATATTCTCTCGGACGGTGCATCTTCACGGAAAATTATCGAGAGTCAGAGAATGATCCGATCCTGCGAAAGCACATTTTTACTACCTAATAAATACGTCTCATATAAAAAAAAAAAGAAAATGAAAGAGACACATTATATACGTGCGTATCATCGACACGTATGCGTGGCAATGGAGACCACCTGAGTACTGACTAGCGGTAATTACAGTACGCAGTTAGATCGCTTCGCGATCCCTCACAGGCCGTGCTCTCTCCCTCTCTCTTTCTACCCTATACCAAGCCCCGAGAATCACCGCTCGCGATCCTCCGGGGAGCCGCTTCGCCCGAGAATAATACGTCCATATGCTCAAACGGTAACATTCTAATTAAACTTACGGGGGTTACATTGAGGTACACATCGTGCCCGCATACTGAAATCTGCTCCGTGCGATCGTACGAACACGTGAGTGCGAGCCCTGCCCCATGATACTTGGTTTTCCTTTTTTTTTTCTTTCCTCGCCTTTTCTCGATTACCATACGGCCCCCACGCGCTTTACATTCTTAAACCCACAAAATCAATTTTACCTTTTTATCCCCCACCCCTCTCTCAATATTTCCTTTCTTTTCCTTTGCACTTCGTACCCTCACCGTATTCCCTACCTGTTTCTCTCTCCTGTCCTCATTCACACGACGCTAATACTCTAAAACTTATACATAAAACGAGTATGTATAACCACCTACTACTAAGCACTGTGTGTGAGTGTTTCTTTGAGATTTCATTCTTTTATACTCCCCTCTAACTTTCCTTCTGTTTCTCTTGCTCTCTTTCACTCTCTCTCTCTCTCTTTCTCTTTCTCTCTCTCCCATCCGCTCTTTTTCTCCCGCATTTCGACGGGGTTTATCTCACGTGAGCGCGTTCCGAAATATGTTCTCTTCTACGACAGCCTGACATTCTTAACCGCGCGTTTTGGTGACCGTTCTACTTGTACGTGCAAGTGTATGTGTATGTATATATTAATTGCGTGTCTGATGTGTGTGATTCAGTCTCACAGCCCGATATCGTCGTGACTAACCCGGTCATGGATGTACATTAAGTAGAAAAAAAAATAAAGAAAGATCGGCCGAAATGCCCGGCGGAGGCTCTCGACGCATCGTCAAATGCTAATCGAAGGGAAAGTCCTTTTTCTCTCTCTCTCTTTTTCTTTCTCTCTGCCTTCCTTCCTCACTTTCATACCTCGAGCTTTTGCGTCTTCCTCTTCCCTCGAGCTTCAAAGCTCTTTACGAACTGTCGTCCTGCTTACACACTTGGTCCACAAGCATGCTTTCGCGTACACATACATATAAATCGGCAATATGTATATACAGGACCCGCGAGTAAAACGCTGTGCGAGTCACGCGTAAAACCTAATACAAATTTCGGTTCAGCATTTTGAACTAGTCTCTTCGTGTTGTCCCCTCCTGTTATCCCCGCGCGTCGTCTAGTCATGAAAATTTATACCTTTGTAACTAGGAATGTGGAATTTCCTACTTGGCATCTTGTAGCATGATTGTGGAGGAACGCAAGATAAAGGCAAAAACGCACTTCAATCTTTCGTCTTCCTTGTCAAATTTCTAACAATTTTGCTTGTATCAATAAAACGCCAAGGATGTTTCTCGCGTGTTTTCTTTTCATCTTTGATCACGATCGAATGCAAGAACAGAAACCCGAAAGAGGAAGAGCGCAGCGAGGAAAAAAAGGGGAATGAGAGGACACGAGAGGAATCGTTAATATCGCATTCTTTTTTTCTCTACCCCCCCCCTCCCCGTTATTTTCCTTCGAGCTTTCAACATGCACAGTCCACGATTACATATCGGACAGTCGAACGATCTAACCTACTTCTTTCTAATTATCTCTCGCGCGGCCTCCTTTCTATTTCCTTCATTACTTCTCTCTCTTCAACCGTTCTCTCTTTCTCTCTCTCTCTCTCTCTCTCTCTCTCACACATACACACGCACACGAACGCAGGTACACATACGTTCAGTTTCTCCCTTTCTCTTTCTCTCTCACACACTCCTTGCAACTACACTTTCTCGCTCTGCTGGAGCTTTTTGCTGCCGGCCTGACGGTTGTTGTTGGGTTTGTTCTTCAGGGAGGTCTGCTTGGCTTGCGCGTGCTGACGCTGCTGTTGCTGTTGCTGTGTTGCCGTATTCGCCGCTCCCGAAACGGCCATCTCGATTGCCCGAGTGAGATCGTGTATGCGCGACGGTAGACGCTGAAGGAACGGCTGCCGTTGATTCTTGATTCCTCCGTGAAGGATGCCGCCGGCGGTACCGCCGACCCCGATGTGACTGTTGATGTTATTGTTGCCAATGCCGCCCGGCACCTGGCCAGGACCCCGCTTGTTGTAGAGGTGACTCGCCGGCATCGGCACCGGCAGCTGTACTACCGCCGCGGTACGTAGCAGCCGATGACGACGATGATGATAAGGTGCCGCTACCGCTGCCGCGTCCGCCGCCGCGGCCGCAGCCGCAGCCACCGCCGCCGCTGCCGCTTGTTGCTCGTCCTACGCCGCCTTGCTCTTGTTCGTCTTGAAGCTAACCTGGAGCACACGGTTACCCAGGGTGTAGCCGTTCAAGCTCTGTATGGCCACCACCGCCTCTTCATAATTGGTCATCGTCACGAACCCGAAGCCTTTGCACTTGTTCGTCTGAAGGTCACGTATGACCTTGACCGATTGGACGGCGCCGAAGGGTCCGAACAGCTGCCAGAGCACATTCTCTTCGGTCTCGGGTGCGAGGTTGTACACGAAGATGCACCAGCCGGCGCCGTTCATCGTGTTACCGGGCAGCATCGAGTTCGCGAGGAGGTCACCCGCCAGAGGACTGTACCTGCAACACGGTGACCAGGCCGGTCATTAAACGGACATCGTCGCCCGGTGGCGGCTGACAATGACGGCCGCGGAGGCGACGAGTGAGAGAACGAACGATGCTGAAACGTGATCACATCGAAACCGGCAGTTTTCGTATGCGTATCATTTCAATGATGTCTAATTGGTTTCTCGCAATCAAGAATACGAAAACGCATTTCTTGGCTACGATAATTCTGCATGGACACAATCATCGTATAATGTATAATTTGTAGATCTTTAGCGGTAGAATTTTTTTTTTCCGTTCTTTCACATACAATATTGTGATGAAATTTCAATAATGATATGTCCTTTAAATATTTTCATAAAATATACGCTCGAGTTTTATCTTATATTATCATTCACGTTTCACGGGGGAACGTTTGAGCACCGTTCAATTTATAAATACTTGCTGATGTTTCTTTTCTCTGAATATAAAAGGGTATATCTATTAAAATTTTACATTATACGCTACTCGCACAGTATATCGCAATCCCAATGAAATTAAACGTGTAAAAAGATGCGAATATATACATACTGATGTGAACATTTATTTCGCGTGATATGTAATCGATCTCTTTCTTTACACAAATGGCACTTCCGCAGACATCTACATATGACACTGGCACAAAAAAGTGAAAAAAAAAATATGTAAAACTACGCGAGGACTGATTTTGTACTACGTAACTTACGCGACATTATAAGAAATATAATAGTATAGTGGCATAAGTGATATATAAATAAGGACAGCGTGCAAACTTTGTTTATAATATATACTCTAGAAAAAAACATGCCGTATAAAATACACAAGTATTTATTTCAATCGTGTGATCACTGTGAAAATTTAAAATAAATAAATGTGTACATTTATAAATCAACATTATAACAAATTTTCCAAATTTTACAGATACAAAAAGTATTATTCTAAATTGCAGTTTTCAAGTACATATATGTAAGCTGTGTCAAAGCAGTGTTTACTCTGGACGGTTTTCAACAAATTTTATCAACGATATTTGTATTTCTGACATATCTTGTAGATAATGATTAAAAGCACTATTGATATGTCGCACGTAAATCTCTGTGTAGTAAACTTTGAAATAAGAAAAAGAAAATTAAGGAAACGTTAAGAGTATAAAAAGGTAGTATACATAAACAGTATAGTGTGCTCGTTCAGAATTATAAGTTATAAGATAATAAAAATAGAAAGACAAAGAATAAAAAATTTAAGTGGCATTATGGGATGCTATGAAGAAATGTCACACTTTATGTAGAGAAAATTTACAAGTACACGCGCTATCTGGATTTCGAATCTTTAATCAAACGTAATTAAGTCTTTCTTTCGAGTCATGCATTCTCTATAAGGATATAACTTAATATATCCAGAGAAAAAGCCAAATTAGAGACAAAGGTACATTATTGCATCAACATTCATGCATTCACGTGCACAGGGGACCACATAGGTACAGAACGTGTTTCTTTGAAAAACGCAAGCCACAATCTCCTTGGATGGCGCTCTCTATGGGTAGACATTAACGTTAATTCTTAAATGTGCGACAGAATTCTTTTGCTAGACAGATAAGATTTCAGAGAATAGGAATGGAAGGTACACGTCCTATACAAAGGCACTTATACAAGTGGGGGAAATATTTACAGTTGTAAAAGTATCTACGTACCTACTTGACGTCACAAGCCGCGTTAAAACAGGGCACATCTCGGTGAGTACTCAGTATAATGCCGAGGCCACAATAATTACGTATGCATTCCTCACGTACGTTGTACGTTATACCGCGTAAAGTAAACGTGTGATACGTGTCATGTACTTTTTTTTTTTTTTTTACGTGTGTACGCAGAGACATGTGCATCGGGTGGTTGTACGACCGTCTGTGATCCAATTCAGTGTATGCACGTATGTATGTGTACACGTGTGCGTGTGATGAAGGGCCGTACAAAAAACAAAACAATGGAATCTATAAGGACAAGGAAATGAAGGGAGTAACATCACGTTGCTTGCATGTGAGTTCGTCTCGTGGTTCATTAAACATATGTACATATATGTACACGAGTATCTGCACCGGATTTCTCTCTCTATGTTTAAACGTATTCGTATTTAGAATAAGTACCTTCGAGAACAGATTTTTGCATGTAACTTTAGTTTACAGAGAATACGTAATATATGTATATATATGATATAAATGTCCAGAATTTCCAAATAAAATTTTTTCTAAAGTATATTGCAGTAAAATGTAAAAAAAGACTCTCAAATTTTTTCATTACAGCAAAATGTCAGTTCACTATATAATTATGTTCTTTTTAAGCTGTTTCTATAATACGCAAATTGCGCAACAAGAAAACTCTAAAATAATCTAGAAGCTGCAATCGTTGCAAATACTACGGTGGCAAATATTGCAGCGGTTTAATCGTTTAAACGAGTAAATGACACTATGTAAATAAATGGAAGAACAGGAAACCAAGGAGGCTTGATTGCGAAACCCAAGAAAACGTGACGTCAACATATCTACCACTGTGTTTGCACAACTGAATCAAATAAAAATCGAAGCAATCCGTTGTGAAAAATGCAGAAATGGTGAAAATATAGCAGGATCCCGTTACGAAATTATGCTTACATAAAGAAAACCGATAAAAAATATTTTACACCTTGAAAAAGACTTTTACATAAAAATATCCACGGACAAAGATCACTTAAAAATTCAAGTAATGATTATTAAAAAATTAAATAACATAAATAACATTGTGTTTGTTATCTCGAAATTTTTTAAATGATAGAATCATTTTGCGATATCTTGATATCGAATTCGTAACGAGTCAAATAAGGAAAAGTGAGAGAGAAAGAGAGAGAGAGAAAGAGAGAATAAAGCCACACAACGGAAGTAACAAAAATTAGGAGTGGAAAACGTAGCGGTAGTAACGAAAAAAATACTGACCTCTGTAAGCCTTTGTTAATGGCAAGCATGGCCTTGCCAGTGCTAAAACAAAACACAAAAAGAACAACGTAAGAAGAGAGATACTCCGGGATCGAGCCAAAGTCGGGGGATAAGTCGGGCGCTCCCTGTGTATTTCATTTTCTACCCTCTACGTAGCGATGCACTATTACCGCGAACGGGACGCAACGAGGGATGCAATGCCGGGATGCAGAGAAGCGAAATGATATGATGATGTCGTTATGTGATATTAATATTAAACAAAAAATATAATACACAATTATTTACAACACAATGTTATTTCCATTTTATTTAAATAAACATTTATATTAGAGATTAGAGAAAAGTAATTTATTTAGATATAAAATGTATAAGACATAAATTTAATTTTGTAAAGTAAATAATCGACAAGGAATTTGTTTCATGAAACCAGTTCGGTTCTCTGTTAGGAGAGGAACTGAAGGAATTATTGTCACAATGACATAAGCGCTATTTAGGTTAGAATATGACCGTGATTTTCCAAACGATGACGTCGACATGATAAATTTGAATCTCAAGCATTAAAAACATTTTTTTATAGTTACACTTGCAAATTAAAAAAAAAACAAATTTAAATGTTAGAAAGAAAGAAAAGCAGCATTCTGTTTTACGAATAATATATATACAATTGACAACAAATTAGTTTTTTATATAGCACAAAAATTGTAGAAAGTAGGCTGATTACTCAAATCATTAATTGATTGTATGTTACGTTTTGTCGTCTCAAATTTTGTTTAATATCGACAGTTCAATTAACTGTTATATAAGCTATTCTTCCACTCTGTTGAAAGGGAAAATGGAATAATAAGAGACAAAGCAACAGCAAAGCGCAGCTGCACTCGGTTAGCGCTTTGTACTTATTGAAAACAAACGATCGATATCCGTGACGAAACTCATGGAGAATTTCGGTAGCTTTGTATCTCGAATTTAGACATATACGAACAGACTCTGACATGTGCGATCAATGAAGATGTATGCTGCGTATATCGTCTCCGTACTGGAGGGAAAATTTGTGAATATACGTATACTACGTAAATAGATATCGCTCTTGATAGCGAGCATCGTGACTTATATGTAACATGGGAGGCTCGAAACGAAAGAGAGATGATGAATTGAGTGTCGATATAGTCCTTGATTCAGTAACTAATATTTGTCGTCACCGAGAATGATAAAGTTTTCCATAATAATTTCATAACACACAATAATGTGCCAAAATAAAATATTACTGCTCGTGACGACAGATATCGATATAGAATGTAAGGCTATTGTGTACGTTTTGCTCCTCCGTGTTTCGAGAATGGCCAAAGATCAGCTTACGTTTTCAAATCAGACTTATACAACATATTTTCGTCTCTCTGCATTCGATCGTGTAGTATATACTTGTACGTCTATTTCGTGAGATCTGATCGCTGGCCTTGAAGAAAATGAGAACCAAAAATGGAGAAAAGTACAAAAATGGAGAAAAGCACAAAAATCAAGAGATCACGTAAACAACGATGAAAGAAACACAACGATGAGTGCAAATAAAGGAGGGTCAGTCGACGTTTGTTTTTATATTATTATTGCGTGAAATTACATGGATATTATTGAACCTGTTATTTGATAAGGTCATGAAGCCCTCCGATCGACCTTGATAGGTTGTTTCGTCAATATGAAAGTTTAATAGAGTCATATCGATTGCGAGACAGAAAGACCTTGCTAAACAGAGGTAACGCGGATTCTCTGTGGATTGTCCGTGTTGCTTCGGAACACTATACCTTTCCGCGAGCTTTTGTTTGTTCTCGATAACATTGTAATTGATCGAAGATAAAGAATACGTATATTTTTCAAGTGATGAGTAATCATAATAAAATATAGAAAACAATTGGCGAAACTATTCGTTTATTAAACGTCGTCATTGACCGTTCCCTTATTGTAATTATAATTGCAAGTGAGAATATGAAAAATATATACCGTATCTATAAAAATTACCGTGTAAGTAACACAAAGGTTTAAGCCATGATTCCCGAAAATAACAGAGCGTGCACAGTCACAATTTAAAATAAGACAGACACGTTAGTGCATACATATTTTAAATTATAATCGGATGAATATAGGAGGAGCTTTGTGCCGAACAACTTGTGGAAGTAACGATAACTGTCTGCGATCGACTGATCGATCGATTGACATAAATAATCACAAATATATTTTTAATTCACCATATAAGCAATCAAAGATCGATATATAATAATAAAGTCATACTCAAACAGAGCAAATAAATGTCTTACTATCAATGTAGTATATTTTCATTTATATTATTGTATTCAATATACAAATTATAGTCACACTATTTTCTGTAAAATACTTTTTCATTCTTTTTAAATTATCTATCTGAGATTTTTCAAGCCACAATAAAAACAAAACATAATATTGTATAGTATCACGTATTTTTTATATATGAAAAAAAAATTTTTTTCTCTTATTAAAAACAAAGACCCATATTATTTTGTAATACAATATCAAGATGTCATAAAAATCTCGTGTTTATGTATGAATAATCGATCGATCTAATCGAGTAATTTTGTGTTCACGCGGTGTTTGTGTGTGTCAAAAGAGAGAAAATAGAAGGAAGAAGACGAATAGTACACGCTAGAGAGTTAGAGAGTTCTAGATAGAAAAATAAAAAAATAAATTTGGAATAATTGGATGGATAGATGGACGAATATGGAGAGATTCATGGATAAAATAAATAACTCAGGAGAAAAACTCAATTTAAATGGCTAAAGAATTATCGGAAAATCAATGAATAAAGAAACGTGAAGTGAGAGAGAAGAAAGAAAAGCGAGAAAATGCTGCGCGGCCGAGCAATCGCGGTATTTAATTCGCATACGTCTGTGCTGCTGGAGCATACCCAGCTGATTAACATCGCGTTAACGACAACCGCGACAAATTACTCCACGCAACATCCTCCAACAGAACTGTCTAACGAAAGCCGGAAAAGATAGAATAAAGCGGAAAGAGAGAAAAAGACAGAGTAGAAGAGACGAAGAGTTAGATAGATAGTGAAAATCCTTGGGTAGAGCGAGTAGAGGCGAGTAGGTACCTGGATAGTGGCGACAGTGGAATGTACCTGAAGCGGCCGGTCGGATGGTGGATCGGCCCGCCGAAACGCCGCGTGGCTTGTGGTGCGAGATAGGCGGCCAATGGCGGTATCGCCTTGTTGTTGTTGCTAGGATTGTTGGCGAACTTGACGGTGATCGGTTCGGACGAGCCCTTTGGTATGGTGCCGTTCAGCTCTTGGATCGCTCGTTCGGCCTCGACGCGCTGGTCAAACCTTATGAAGCCGACGCCCTTCGACAGGCCTGTCGAGAGGAGCCGAGATAATCGGCAGAACACATAAGATCGCATCTGGTTATTGCTGACGACACACGACGCAAGCCGAAACCGTGCCGGACGCTTCCGACCGATCTCTCTCTAGGTTTTCCAGGTATTTTTCTAGTTCTTTTTTTTTTTATCTAACTAGCAACGTCGCGAAATCAACGACGGCTCAAGACCAATTCGAAGGACTTTTTATTGTGCCACGACGTTACCTGCGTTTCTTACCGTGACGTCATCTTATTATGCCTCCTTATTACGCGCGGTATTATTAATAAGCCTTTAGTTAGCTTTCTCGACCAGTCAATACACAATCCCGATACATCGAGTTATCACTCGAAGTTGTACTTATTGTTAGATTACAAAATGCGTACAGAATAATTCACATTTCACATATGTAATGTACAGGATTGAAAAAGTTATTTTACAAGTTACTTTTTAGATTACCTTATATGTATTTTATTATAGAAATTGAGTACAAAATTGGAGCAAATGATAAAGTGTAATGTGAAAAAAATTAATTTAACTTATTACACTCAATTTCTATAATAAAAAGTAAATTATAAGTGACTTGTAAAGTAATTTTTCCAATCCTGTTAATGTTTGCTTCTCTGCGTTCAGCTATCATTGAGAGCAGCGACAAATTATGAGTATAAATCGCTTATCTCTCATAACGACGGAAAAGTACTTAAGTACATGTCGTGTAGATTCGAGAAATGTTAATCTTATATGTTACATTTTACAGAAAATCTTTTTCCACACATAGAGACAAAGTGAGTGGTTCGGTGCGCGCAGATTCGTTTCTTTACAAACACAACGACAATGTCTTGTCGAGTGGACGTCTTTTTGTCTTTCTTTCAATTTTCTACTTTGTAGATCTATTTATCATTCGCGGTCTAGTGTCGATTGATAACAGGTAGATAGGAACGAAAAAGAGAAAGAGTGAGAAAGTGAGAGATAAAGAAGAGTGATAAAAAAAAAAAGAAAGAGAGATAGAGCGAGTATATTTTCGATCACGGATACATGTCAATATAATTGAGAGATCGTAAGCAAATCATAACCATAACGAATGACAAAAAGCGTAAAGAAACAAAAATGGCGCTCAGGGAAATACTGGATGCGCGCATCATCTGTCATTGCACGACGAAGACAGAGACGCAATAATTTTTTCTCATTTTCTCTTCTTACAATTTGGTCGTCCTAAAATTCGTATCGATCAATTGAACTGTTCCGAGTCGCAGTCAAGGTGTAAAAAAAACATGGAACGTTTCGCGAAATATTAAACCGCAAATTATTTTATTATTTAATATTTTACCGATTCTCGATCTTACGCACCAATTTTGTAAAGCACCAGTTTAGTAAGACGCGTCACACAATGTAAAATCTCTCAATCCTTCGCTGAATTACATCACCGTGCGCCGAAGTTACAAATGAATTTTGACAAAACGTTATAACAAACAGACATAAACGGATTTGATCGAAGACGATGTTTACTTGGCACGATTACAAATCGATTTTCGATTCCGAGCGACGCTCGACTACACCACGGGGAAAACCGGTGTTCGTACTACTGTTGCGTTGTGTTTTATTTAACAACGACGGCGACGACATTGACGAGGTATACATGGTTACATGGTGAAAAAAAAAACGAGGTCGCGCAAACGAGAGACGCGCGCGCATCACAGATCGAAAGAAACGGCTGCTTTTCGTTTCAGCTAGAGGACGTAATGAGGGAAAAGAAAAGAGATTTGTGATTTACGTACCGGGCAAATTGTCTCCGCCGCCGGTCACAAACTGTCGTACTAAACAGAAACGGAAAAAATCATATCTCGTTAAAATCCAACTAGCAGCACACGCGATTCGCTCGCCCTTGTGATACGTTGATTCGGGAAATGAAAAAACGTGTTTACGCGATAAGACGGAGTTATGAAAGGGTTAACGAAAGAAAGAACACAATAGAAGCAAAGTAAAAACAACGAGTCTAGTCAGCATTCAAATTTAAAAAAAAAAAACACACATCGTGACTTTGACGTGATAAATTAAGAAATTTAATTATTATTTACACTCAGAATTTCTCAAAATTGTAAAATAAATGAAAATTCTTTAATTTTCAATCATTTTAGGAAACAAGAACAAACTGATGTGTGATTACATTTTTATCACATTTAGTAATTCAATAGATATTATCACAAATATTATATAAAAAACTACATACATAATTGTGAAATCAAACAGGTCTAAAGATTATAAGAAACTAAATTGTTAATAAAATAAATAAATTCCTTGTACTCTCTCTCTCTAATTATGTTACTTAATGTTTTAATAATCGTTACTGGATGGGTATTCGTTGCTTTCGCATTTAACGTTTCGTACAATAATGAAAAGAAACGATATCATTTTAAACAAAAGAAATTAAACAGGACGAGTACGTATACAAGGGGCGAGCGGACTTCGTGTAAATTATACTATTTCAGATCTCCTTAATCATATAAAAAGCGTGAGCGCCAAAAGGGGAAAAATTCGGTATATCGCGCGTGTTCACTTTTGCGGAAGATGGGAGAAAGCGACATAGGACAAACTTAAGTCTCGGGGAAAAAAACGAAGCAAGCCTTGTGATCCGGATAATGGAATAATGATGGTGATAAGAGGTAACGAGATGTAGCAACGAATGCGTCCGGGATGAAGGGATGGTGAGGTGAAAAGTGAGCACGGTATAAGGAGGCACGAAATTAAGATCGAGGTGGAGGCCATGAGACTTTGGTGCGTGCAAAACTGGGTTGGCCAAGGAGGAGCATTTGCAATAAATAAATCAAATACGCAAACGAAATCTAAACTCGGGAAGGTTCGTAGACGACTAAAAGCGAGAGACACTTGCGCGACACTTCGAGTTGTCATCGTATTTGTCGTAGGGTATACTATATGTAAGCTCCCCTCGAGAACAAAGTTGCGTGTATATGCGAAGCTGTATACTCGTGAAATCGTTGCTCTTTGTGCTCTTCGAATGAGGAAACGTGTGGAAGATGTGTATAGGCAAAAGAAAACATAACCAAGTGAAACTGATACGATCTCGTTCGCTCAACAGAACATTTATCGTTATCGCTTCAACGAGCTACTCTTGTCGCACTTTTGTTATCGTTATCGTTTTTATGGCGCACCGACCCACCCTACAAACGGACTCTAACCCCATGGCCTACGCACCTGTGATCTGGATAAGTTTTATTTAAAGCCACCGGAGATTTCCGATTTTGTCGCTGTCTTAAATATATAGATTCCTCGCACATCGATTTCATCATTTTGCCAAGTTCATATCAGCGCGAATAGAATAACAAGATAAATCGGGTCTAAGCCGACTGGAAGAAACCGAGGAAATATTTCAAACGATATCCGTAACGTTTCGTCGGACTTACGTTTGTAGATAATACATCTCGCGTTGTCGAAAAAATTGACAAGCGGTCGGAAAAATTTTATTATCGTGACAGATATACACATCATCGCGGAAAGCTCGCGAAAACTATAAACAGGCGGACTTGCGTAGACTTACCGGTGATGTTGTCACACAGTATCCGCGACGTGATGATTCTGCCGTAAGGACTGAAGAGATTCTCCAGATCCTGTTGCGCCATGTTTTTCGGTAAGCCGCTGACGTACAGATTCGCGCCTTTGATCGCCTCGCTGCTCGGTCTCGCGTACGACACCTAGAAAAAGAAAAAGAAATCGCATTCCAAAAAATACTTTCCTTTCAATCCCAATAAATATTCATAAAATTATCCAAACAAAGCGACGGAATCAACGAAGTGCTTGATATTTCATCGGATAGAAAAAAAAAGGAAGAAAAACATGCCCACGCGATAATCATCGCTTTATTCTTGTTTGTACGCGATAAAATCCGCCCGAATCCAGGCTAACCTATTTATATTGCTGCATTACCACCCTACAAGCTCGCATAAGTGTGTTTAGCATTCTAGAAATCAGATAAAAATGCTTTGCAAATTCGACTGGCAAAAATAGACTATTGATTTCGAATATCGATGATCTACGAGTTCTCAAGAGAAAAAATATTGGTTTAATTATGGAAGTAGAATTTATAGTAAATAATCACATTAGCTTATTATGTGGGAATAATGAAGAACGATGGTATACACGATGTGCTCAAGATCTGTATTACAGGCCACTTACCTTAATGGTTTTGTTCTGCAAACGAAGACCATTGAGCGTGTTTATAGCCTTTTCGGCATCTTCAGGCCGGTGATAGTTGACGAAACCGTAACCCAAACTCTGACCTGTAAGCAGAGAGACGCAACTCGATAAATATTACGAGTGTCGTCGATGCCAGATTTAGATTTTCGAAAAATACGTTGATCACGAGCTGCATCGTACATTGTGATGTCCGACATGTTTAATCGCTGATGACATTTTGATGGCTTTTGCTTTTGATGTAAAAAAATTAATATTTCTTCGACGCTACCGATGAGTTTTGTTTATATCTAAATGGCTATCTAACGACTAACATAATCGCATCGAAATGATGGTTGAATGTGCAATGCCAACTTTAATTTCCCCAATACGTCCCGGAATCAATTTTATGAATGGCGTAGTGGCAAATATATCAACGAGTAGTTGGCAAAATGCCTGAAGCAAGTAGCGGAACCGCAAGGACATAAGAGTGAATTATTTTTCGGTTTTACCGAGGAACTAATATCAGATTCATTCGTGATTTTTAAACATTTTAATGTCAAAACATAAAATAATAATTTGATCAAAAAATAATATATAAAGTATTATTTTACAATCAAGAATGAATTTTATTAATTTAGAACGTCAGTCATACATGGGAAAAGGCTTCTTGTCTGCTACATTTAATAAATTTAAGATGCATCTTGCGTGACTTCTAATCTAATGAAGAGAAATCGAGAAAGAGGGGGGGGGGGGGGGGGGAAGAAAAATAATTACGGTTTTTCGATGAAACGAAAAAAAAATTGTTCCGATATGTTTAATGCGCATGGTAGCGAACGACGTGATACGGTACTGCCACTCTGCGGCAGTGAGATCGAGCATAAAGCGGCAAATCTTCAAACCAAACACCGCCCCCGCTCTCGCTCTTCGCGGCGGCTTGAAATAGCGCCGCGACGTCTATACACGTGCTCGTCTCGCCGCCACTACACGGAATATACCCGGCACACACGTACCTGAATTATGTTAGAAAATACGTATTCGATGTATGATTATGGCGATACGGACGACCATTGAGTGTGTTTATAACCTTTATGGCGATATGGACGAGTTACGCAAAATGCCTTGTCAGCCAGAGACTTATAGGTCGCGTTATATAAGCGAAATGTTAGTTTTCAGCAAAATGAATGTAACTCGAGTTGCTTATGAGCCAAATTGATCAATTCCATGAAATAAAGATGCATACTTCCAGCGTCGTGCCAATCTTCGGTTGGCAGCAGTTCAGAAAAGATAGAGAAAATTGACGAAGTTGAACACTAATCATGTTTATTAAAATTAGAAATTTCTGAAGAGTTCGTGATTGTGAAAGAAATAAAATTCTGTAAATTGTTTTTGGAAAGTCGCAATTTTTTATTTTTCTAACTACTTCTCTTAAAATTATTTTTCAATCGTCTATTGCAAAATTTAATCTTTGTCGAATTAAATTGTTTGAAACGAAAGAGAAAAAGCATTTAATAAAAGAATCGATTACTATTTTTCAGATGGCGTGAATCAGCTTTTAGATGATTTCGTTAATATCGATGTATCGAATTGAGCCGCATACCTTCTAATGGTGTCATTAAACATCACTAAACAAGCTCGGCTCGTTTAATATTTAACGACTCGGATTTGAGTGCCTTGACATAAAAAGAAAGAACGCAGTAGAAATGCTGATCTTACCGCTAAGCTTATCACGGATTAGCTTGCAGCTTTCGACCTCGCCTATACTGGAGAACAGAGAACGAATCTCATCCTGTGTCATACTCTGCGGCAAGTAATTTACTATGAGATTCGTCTTCGACTCTTCCTGCGAGGTCTGTCCGAGGGTTGATCCTCCGTTTTGTTGTACGACTGTGTCCATTCCGTTCGCCATCATTGCAATCCTCTAACGAGTCGTCCCTAACTATGTACGAAATCTGCAAACAGAACACATACATATCACATTATACCGTGATCCAGACACTCTATCGACAAATGATTTACAATTATACAGTATCGATTGATGATTTGTTTGTATTAAAAGTTTTATTTTGCCAGAATTAAACATAGCGGAATTTTTATGATATCCCGCGAAGTCTGCATATTTTCCTAAAACGTTAAAATATACTCTAGCAAGTTTCGCTTTGAAAACACATCAAACTATGTCACAAGGTAATGGTAGAAACGGCACCGATGTAAACACTGAAGGACGTAAAAACCCGACGACCAAAACAATGATGCACAAGTTCCTTGACGCTTGAAAACTCAAGTCCAAGCTAATCTAAGGTTTTTGTACATACCGCGAACTCGGCGAAAGAACGAATATATTATAAGAAGATACAAAAAGAAGCGGCTTTATTGTATAAAGCAGAACCAACGCGAATTTGAATATTGGCTTAACAATTTTTTTTTTTAAATAATTAAATATTTAAGACATAATAATTAAATATTAAGACATATAAAAAGTTATTTATTAATAATTTAATATTATGTTATATTAAATAATTTATTAAATATATATTATGGAAATAAATGGTGTATCTAAATCTATAATCATTTAAAAAAAGCTATTCTATAGTCTTTTGTTTTAATAAAAACGTGTTTATCGCAAATGTTTTGTATTAGATATTAGAAAAATCGATATAAAAGTACGAGTATTATGGAGGAATCTGGAAAAAAAAAGCAAATATGTAATACTCGCGATTCGATCGCGTAAATCTGAACAATAACTTTTCAAACACAGTACGAAAAGGAAGAGCGGTGGTTTGAAAGAACTTTGAGGTAACATCCGATACGAACTCGGGTAATTTAAAGGGGCCGACGACCCCTGTTGTCATTTAAAGGGCTGGAGACCCTTTCATCTCCAAACTACAGAAGCACATCGAGTATAAGTCTACATACGTGGTGTCCACAGCATGAAAAGTACACAGAGATCGGTTCATAATTTCTAAATATCAGGAACCATTTCCAAATTTAATTAGAAATTCAACAAGTAGCTGATGCAGTAACGAGAATTGGTAATTATGATCATTAATTTTCAGTAACAGCTTTCCTCTTCATCGACACAAAAAATAATTTAATGAAATGTTTCCTAAACTACTACTAACATGGCGTGTATGAATAAATTATAAAAAATTTAAGGTGACTGACCTCATTCCTATTTAAGCAAAGAGGTAATTAACTTGGAAATATATTTATAAAAACGATCGTTGTTACGATTTTATTAATTATTAAAGTCATATTAGCGAGAAAACGTTAACAGAAATTTGTTTTTATTGAAATACATCTTTAGAACTTAAAAAGATATTTTCAATCCCAATCAACTTCAACTAAATAAAGATTTTAATGAAATTCTCCACGAGATAAAACGAATATGAAGCAAGCAACAAATCAACTAGAACTAGGAGGAAACGAATTCACGTCCTGAATATGAAGCTGATTATGTATGAAGTTCCTAGAAATGTAGATTAATTTTAATATCGATTCAACTCATTCTTTATTTCTTCTAATTCTTAGAATCATAATAATAGAAAAAATTGAATAAGCTTTCTACAATAAACTATTACCTGAGCTTTAAGTCATAAGCCATAAGAAATTGATCAATCACAGTTGAATATAAGAAGAATAATTGGCTATGATCGGTCAATTTTTTACATCTTAAAACTGAAAGCTATAATGGCTGGCTGTAGAAAGCTTAAAAGAGTTATGAGTTTTCTACAATAAACCATTACACTTAAACTTGCAATCTCAAGCCGTAAGAAATTGACCAATCACAATCGAAAGAAGAATAATCGACTATATAATTAATTAATCACTCTTCCTTACGACTTAGACTCTCAAGTTTAAGCAATGACTTTATTGTGGAAAATCTAAGGTGGAGAACCGAGATTTTAAAATTAGATTAGACTACATAGGCAGAAGCGGATAAGAATGATTCGGCGAACTCTTTCGCGCGGAACACCCGGTACACGCGCGCGCTCGCCAGAGCGCAAAGGGAGAAACAGGAGCGAAAGAGGGAGAGACAGAGGCAGAGCGAGGAAGGGGAATTACCGTAGGGTGCCAACCGCGATGTTCACGGTTAAGGCGAGTACACACACAGCTGCGACGACACGTTTATCAGTCGGCACGAGCCAGTAGAAACGGCACCGATGTAAACACTGAAGGACGTAAAAACCCGACGACCAAAACAATGATGCACAAGTTCCTTGACGCTTGAAAACTCAAGTCCAAGCTAATCTAAGGTTTTTGTACATACCGCGAACTCGGCGAAAGAACGAATATATTATAAGAAGATACAAAAAGAAGCGGCTTTATTGTATAAAGCAGAACCAACGCGAATTTGAATATTGGCTTAACAATTTTTTTTTAAATAATTAAATATTTAAGATATAATAATTAAATATTAAGACAGATAAAAAGTTATTTATTAATTAATAATTTAATATTATGTTATATTAAATAATTTATTAAATATATATTATGGAAATAAATGGTGTATCTAAATCTATAATCATTTAAAAAAAGCTATTCTATAGTCTTTTGTTTTAATAAAAACGTGTTTATCGCAAATGTTTTGTATTAGATATTAGAAAAATCGATATAAAAGTACGAGTATTATGGAGGAATCTGGAAAAAAAAAGCAAATATGTAATACTCGCGATTCGATCGCGTAAATCTGAACAATAACTTTTCAAACACAGTACGAAAAGGAAGAGCGGTGGTTTGAAAGAACTTTGAGGTAACATCCGATACGAACTCGGGTAATTTAAAGGGGCCGACGACCCCTGTTGTCATTTAAAGGGCTGGAGACCCTTTCATCTCCAAACTACAGAAGCACATCGAGTATAAGTCTACATACGTGGTGTCCACAGCATGAAAAGTACACAGAGATCGGTTCATAATTTCTAAATATCAGGAACCATTTCCAAATTTAATTAGAAATTCAACAAGTAGCTGATGCAGTAACGAGAATTGGTAATTATGATCATTAATTTTCAGTAACAGCTTTCCTCTTCATCGACACAAAAAATAATTTAATGAAATGTTTCCTAAACTACTACTAACATGGCGTGTATGAATAAATTATAAAAAATTTAAGGTGACTGACCTCATTCCTATTTAAGCAAAGAGGTAATTAACTTGGAAATATATTTATAAAAACGATCGTTGTTACGATTTTATTAATTATTAAAGTCATATTAGCGAGAAAACGTTAACAGAAATTTGTTTTTATTGAAATACATCTTTAGAACTTAAAAAGATATTTTCAATCCCAATCAACTTCAACTAAATAAAGATTTTAATGAAATTCTCCACGAGATAAAACGAATATGAAGCAAGCAACAAATCAACTAGAACTAGGAGGAAACGAATTCACGTCCTGAATATGAAGCTGATTATGTATGAAGTTCCTAGAAATGTAGATTAATTTTAATATCGATTCAACTCATTCTTTATTTCTTCTAATTCTTAGAATCATAATAATAGAAAAAATTGAATAAGCTTTCTACAATAAACTATTACCTGAGCTTTAAGTCATAAGCCATAAGAAATTGATCAATCACAGTTGAATATAAGAAGAATAATTGGCTATGATCGGTCAATTTTTTACATCTTAAAACTGAAAGCTATAATGGCTGGCTGTAGAAAGCTTAAAAGAGTTATGAGTTTTCTACAATAAACCATTACACTTAAACTTGCAATCTCAAGCCGTAAGAAATTGACCAATCACAATCGAAAGAAGAATAATCGACTATATAATTAATTAATCACTCTTCCTTACGACTTAGACTCTCAAGTTTAAGCAATGACTTTATTGTGGAAAATCTAAGGTGGAGAACCGAGATTTTAAAATTAGATTAGACTACATAGGCAGAAGCGGATAAGAATGATTCGGCGAACTCTTTCGCGCGGAACACCCGGTACACGCGCGCGCTCGCCAGAGCGCAAAGGGAGAAACAGGAGCGAAAGAGGGAGAGACAGAGGCAGAGCGAGGAAGGGGAATTACCGTAGGGTGCCAACCGCGATGTTCACGGTTAAGGCGAGTACACACACAGCTGCGACGACACGTTTATCAGTCGGCACGAGCCACTGGCTCCTGCATCTCTCTCTCTCTCTTTTTTTACGTACGCTCCCTTTTCACCACACGCGCCGCGGCCGCCGCGCGCTCTCCCTTTTTCCCTCCTACGTTTAGACATCAGCTGTCCTTCAGGGCCTTCCTCTCTAGTGGTGGTCGCCACCCTAAAAACCGAGCTGTCCACGGTGCCGCAGGGTAACAGACAGCTTTTATTACGGTCGGCCCCCCAAGTTTCCGAAACGGACTGGACGCGCGATGCGTCCGGCCGTCATGCGTGGAAATATATGTGCATTTGCACGGGACAATGGTATGTCGTACTTGCTTTGTTTACATCGAATGTAGCGATGGTCGGACGTATCTCCTTAATTTACACGAATACAAGGCCGAAAACGAGTACGTTTAAAGAGTCATACGTACTGAAAACGTAAAAACGAGTGAACGAGGCGAAGCACGTGCGAGACAAATGGCGCGTGTTTTTACCACATTATTTTTAATGAGACTTTTCAAATGAAACGAAAGCGGCTTCAGTGTATCGGAAAAAAAAAAGAAAAACAATAGATACTCCTCAAATTCTCGGCGATATCTTATCCAAATATATCTAAAAACATAATATAATTCAACAAATAATAGAATCTCATTTTTAGAAACATAATATAATTCAGTTTTAAACATGACTCATTGACGAGTAATCTCGCCAATATTGTTACTTTAATGTTTATAGAAACAGAAAAGACTGATAAACTTATTACTTCGAATTCAAATGCTTTCATATATGTTTTGATATTTTCCATATAAAAATAACAAACAACATATTTAAATACAGTAATTCATTATTGTATGCAGTACAATTCTTATTACACGAAAAACTAAATCATACATAAGATACTCGTATATTTATTTAGCACAAAAACTGTTAATTTGACTGAACCATTATTTTTGAACAAATAATATTTATTTACTCTATTTAGGCAACAGAGTTTACTGTTCAAATAAATATTAATTAAAATTTAGTACATATTTTTCCCAACGCATATACGAAGTCATTTATATTGCATTGCACACTTGGAGTCGCGAATGTTATTCGACGGCTGCACTATTAGACTTCAAATAGCGAGGTAAGATCGCAAGAGGAGTTAATAACGAATTACAGAATTAACGTTCCGTCGGAGTCATGTTTACAGTGCAGACAAAATTACGAAGAGAAAGCATATTCGCGGAATGCAAAGAAGCCGCCGCCGCCGATCTCGCGTCCCCTTTGTTTACGAACAGTAAGGCGATAAAAGCGTCGCTGGCGGAAGGCAGAAAAGTCGCGGTGCGCTTTATCGCAACCCGGCATCTTCCACCGGTATCGATCCGCGCGCGGCGTTGTTCGCCATCGCGATATATTTTCGGATCCGGCAATGCCGAGAGAGAGCCCGTTGTCGCCATCGAGTTGACTCTACATTGTCAAGCGCATCGGGAAAGCGTATCTCGCTCCGCTCTGACTTCTGAATCTTCGCTTCCTTGTCGTCATCCGGATGACAATGACGCGGACGCGTGCACGCACAAGACCAGGGAGGGGGGGGGAAGGTATGATCGGACGGGGCGACCCTCGACAAAACTTTTCGACGTACGCGAGGCTATCTCGTGCACCCTATCGAAGGGCTACCCCACTGCGAGATTAAAAAATTTAGCTAACTGAAAAGTAGAATATGCTGGAGTTTCCTAACAAAATCTTATCTCACTTTTTGTAATGTTTTACCGAAGTATGATTCGTAACTTTTAAAAAAAATTATATTCGACACTGATATGGATATGTATCTCCGTTGGTATAAAATTATTAATCTCTTCAGGAACGAATTTTATATATACATATATAGGGTCAAAAAATAGTGATTTTATTTTTTAAAGTTTCATTAAAATATGCTAAAAAAATATAAAACCAGGGAATATTTGGTAATTAATTAAAAAAATGTTTACTATTCCCTAGGGAATATTTGCTCTCGATAGTACGATATTCTACTTCGCGAAACGTCAGGTAAAACTAAACGTACACATATACCAGTATCTCTCAGAAGAGGTTAACTTCAATTTCGATTGAACTCAATGTTTAGCTTTGTCTAATGCTTGGAATTGGAAAGAGATAGAGTAAAGTGAACCGAGATTAAAGTCAATCTTATATTGGTGGAAGTCAGCCTTATACCTCTTCCAATCAATGTGTGTAGTTAAATTTTAATCTTGGTACACTCAACTAACTTTCCACCTTTCCCTGCTTCTAAGAATGAGAAAAAAATGAAAAATAATTGAACCGTGATTGAAGCCCATCCACATTGGTAGAAACGGATATTGCAAACGTAAGATGTATCGATATACTTTATCAGATGCAAAATTAAGGCGGCACGTTTAATATAAATGTACATGAAGATAATCGTCGCGAATTGGAATACGAAGAAAAACGAGATGGATGCCCGGCGAGTTATTTCGAAACAGCCCGGGACTATCGATCTGGCGAAATCGATAGAACGGAAATACCGTTTTATTCTGGTAAATGTTACCCTGTTATTTCAATTTAGTAGCGTCTCTCTATTCTGACATAAAATGGCAACACTCGACGATTATTTGGACCATTATAAGGTTTACCCTCGCTCTTCAATCTACGTGTAAAATTAGATTTCCATTTTAACATCAGCGTGTGTAATTAATGCATCTAATTAATACATTCAACGATTACACAACCAGCGACAAGTAATCGTCAGTTATTTGATCGAAGCGAGAAAGAAACGGAGGGGCGGTCGACGGAGTATCGAATCTGCAGTTCGAGGTTTCCAGACGGAGTCAGAATTAATAAAAAATGTCTACGTGAAACGGATCAGGAGTGTCTGGTCCTTCCGTTAAAATAAATAAAAGGGGAACGTATACGTATCGCGACTACCCCGTTCGGTCAGCGGCGGCGGGTGGACTCTCGCGGGTTAAAGTTCGATTTGCAAGTATACGCTGCGAGATACGATCTTCGGCCGGTGGCCAGGTGGCCATGGCGACGGATCGTGAAAATCGCGTGGCCGGGACCGATCAATACGAGCGCGGCGGCTCCTCGCTCCCTCGCTTGCACGTTCGCTCGCCCGGCGCTCCGTGAGAGCGCCCCCTTCCCTGCCGTCGCATCGCCGCCCCTGCGCGCTGTTTCCGAGGGAGACCACCCCCCTCCCTCCCTCCCTCCCTCTCTGCCGCGCGTCTGCCCGTTCGCGCGCGCGAAAAAGCGGCTCGTATACGCGCGGCATTAAAAAAAAAAAAAAAAAAAAAAAAAGGAGCAAGAGGAAGGGAGGGTGGAGTGCGCGGAAGGAAGAAAACGCGACGTGTGAGAATTCTCACGTATACGTGACACAACGGACTATACGTTTATACCCGGGCACCCTTATAATTGGGGTTTGACAACAACCGTAGTTACAAAACTGGCCAATCACGGGAGGAACGGAGCTGTAAGATTGGCCAGTTTCATAACTACGCGAATGTTACATAAAAATCCGATTAAAGGCGCCGTGGAAAACGTACACACGGTCCGTGAGAAAAAAAAAAAAAGTGAAGAGGTGCTTCGCGTGAGGAGAGAGAGAGAGAGAGAGACACAGACACACAGAGGGTGTCACGTGCTCCCGAGAGAAGAGACGCGTCGGGAACGCGAGATACGACGGCGGCGACAAGTGCGCGTTATCTCTCTTCGCCCTTATCGGCGGCGAATCGACTGTCCCCTTCCCTCTATCTCGCAATAATCGATTCACTCCCCCGGGGGTCCTTCGAGCGCGCGCGCTCACTCTCTCTCTCTCTCTCTCTCACTCGTTTCCACTTCGCTCGTCTACCCGGAACTTCGCGCTGCGCGAAATCATTTATTTTCCAATACCTGTTACTACTTTCTCTCTTCTATCCTCCTTTTCGCGTTCTGTCACTTGATTCCTCCGCGCTGTGTCGCACGCGAAACCGAGCACCGTGCGGGCGGTCAGCCCCTGCGCGAGCCTCCGGCTCTCGTCGTTTCACACCGCTGTCACCTCCGCTAATGTGCACTGTTATCACGCTACTGCTCTCGCACCACCGCCCGGAACAGAAGGGGAAATCAATGAAAGTAAAGTACGGCGCGAGGGCTCGTAAACCGGCATTTATGCACGCCGCCTGATCACCGTTCTCGGTGCACTTGGTAACGACGGGCGACGGCCGCGTATCGACATCGACACGGCGCGGTGGCTGCCTGGCTTTCGGCGTAGAGACCCGAAGACGCGAAGGGAGAACGAGAACAAGTGAGGGTGGCGGTGGGAGGGAGGCCGGGGGGAGGGGGGCAGGCAGGCAGGAGAGAACACAGTGCGGCCCGGCGTGGAGGAGTCGTGCACGACGTTTTTACGAGCGGCGTATACCCGCGCGTCTCTACACGGAACGGAAACGGTTGGGAGTGATGTGTGAAAGGGTTTTGCGGTCGAGAAAATTAAAGCTTGAAATACTAGACTAAGAAAACGGAAAGAACAACGCGACACGGGCGGAGGCTGCCTACAGACTGAACGCCTCCGGCGGCGGCCCGGCCTCGCTCCTCCCGAAGCGACTTCGCCGCGCGGCGCTCGCGACTCGCGGTCGCTCGGCCCCCGTCGGGGATTCTCGGACACCCTCGTGCAGGCTCGGGCCCGCGCTCGTCTCGCGCCCACCGACGACGCCACGCTGCGACGCGAGCGTCCCGCGAACCCCTTCGCCGTGCATACATCCGTGATTCGCCCCGGCACGCACGGAACCGCGCGAGGAGAGGGGGAGCTTGTCGATCGAACACGCTAATAAATTAGGGATACCCGAAATTTTCAAATCCAACTTATCGATCAGCCGAGCCCGAGCCCAACTCGACGAGGATAATTACACACAGGTTTATCATTCGAGTTGAACTTCTTTTACGTGAATACCGGAGCATTCCTATTAATAAGACACAGACACGCACGAAATATGAAAGTATCTCGCTTGCTTGGAGGACCGCATTTCGCGTGATTTTTCAATTAAATCGATCGAATCACCGCGAATCACAATATTAAAAGCTATGCATTCGTGGATGTGACTTGTATTAATTAACTTTCCGTCTGCAGTGTTATGTTTTTATTCTCTCCGTCTAGCACAAGTTTTTGTGCTGTTCTATACTTTCAATAAATATGAGATTTAGATTTATTTTAAAAAAAAAATGAGAGTACGGCGTTGTTATTGTTACGCAAATCTAATAAAAACAGATTTCTTCAAAATCAATTTATTCAAAAATTATTTAGAGAGAACGTTTTATTTTTTAACATCTCTTCCATTAAGGCAATTTGTGATAACTTTTTAATTTTTTAAAATCAAAATTTCACTTACTTTTCAATAAAGTTTCATTTTAAAAGTCGCTGACTTATCAAACTGCCTATATACATTATTAAATAATTCTTTAATAAGATATTTTAGAAATAATTTTCTCCTTTATATTTTGGAAAAATTAAAATTTTTGATATTTTGCTCGTGTCAAAATAGGCCCAGACTGCAGACGGAGGATTAATGAAAATAACATAGTGTATAAATATCTAATGTAATGTCATGAAATTCTCAGTAAGAGAGAATTAAACGATTTATCGTTCAATGCGATCGAAAAATATTTCACATAATGTGTATATTTATGTATAAATTATTGGAAGTAGAAATTGGAAATATTCGGACGTATACAGATTTGTATTAGAGTGTATGAAATGAGAACTGAGAAAACTTCGTTATCGTGAAAAAAAAGGGCAGCCTTTAATTGCGAATCTTTCTGATCCAATTTCGTCAACCTAATTTTACACGAAAGGAAGGTGTTCACTCCAAACCCCAAGCTGTGCTGTCCCTCGGCATCGTAACCGGCCCTTCAAGGTTTTTGACCCTCGATACACTACGGTATCACGACAGAGATAAGAGTCCCCTCCTTACCGCTCCTCTTACGCTATCCGTATTCGATTCTAACTTCGCAGAAAACCGCAACCTACACCATCTATAAAAAATTATCCAATAGTTATATATATAGCGAGAGATACGTCAGGAGTTCTATAGCTTCACTGAGAAAAATGTCTGGTTGAAAATGGACTACCTCAGGAGATCCTCATATCAATCAAAACTCCGATTATCGCGCCTAAAATTTTAACAATTTTTACCAGAAAGTTCTGATTCATCCATTTTTAACCAGAACTTTAATTGATTTAACTAAACTTTTTTCCTGGTTATAATATGATGGTTATTTAGACCGATGAGTATAAATCTAATTAAATAAGAGGAATCTCATATTAAAATAGATCTTAATTAGTGCTAAAATATTTGTGTAAATTTACATTCATATCTAATTCTACAAACCGCTCGTCGAAATTCTTTTTCGGTCTTGAAACGCAATGAGCAGACCCAGAATAGTAATATCATTTATTAAATAGACAGCAATTTAATAATTTTTTATGCTCGATAAACATTTTTACAAGAATTTACACCAATTTTTATACATTTATACAATTTTTATACATTTTTACAAGAATTTTTATAAGCGTCTTATTATAATCAAATACTAATGAGAATGTTAAATCTGCAAATAATAATTTATTGCTAAAGAATAATATTGCCTCAATATTTTTCTCAGTGTTGAAAATATCATTCCAACTGCAGAATTAAATTAGCAGTTTAACTTGTCTCTCATACAGATACATTTTAAGGAGGGGGTAAGATATTTTACTTTTTTTTTGACCATTTTTTTATATTTTTTTATCTGAATGTACAATGTCTCAAGATTATTGTGTGAAAATTTGAAGCCGACGGAGCAAAATTAACGGAGATATGGAATTTTAAGTGTCCGTTGCTCCGACTCGATTTCGTATACCTGCCCAGTAGCTGGGCGAAGCAGTTGCCTAGCAGCTTTTTGAAAGCGTTTTTGTCACACTTAGCATTTTCCAAGTCGGTGCACACTGTAACTCAAAATCTACTGCACCGATCGTTTTAAAATTTGGTACACTCTTTCTACACATAAATTACAAGATAACGCTGTTGAGTTTTTATTTTTTTAGTAATTATTATTTATTTCACAATAACAAATTTACCGATTTTTTATAGCAAAAATCGATTTTTGACTTCCAAGTGTTACCAAAAATTTAAAAATCGATTAAAAAAAAACTCGACAGCGTTACCTTGAGAAACTTATTAACTAACTAAAAAATTTTGGTTTTTTTTATATCAGATGATTCAGTAACGAGTTATCGTGTGCACCGCAAGACACCTTTTTTTCGAGGCGCCTCCGAAAATTGCGTGCCAATGTGTTGTTTCTCCATATTTTTCGTTCAAATTTTCACAAAATATTCTTCAAACATTGTATTATTAAAATAAAATTACCCAAATACGCTGGAACTAACCATACCTTATAAAAAAATTCATGAATATATGCTTTTTTATCATCGAATTAACCTTACCCCCCCCCCCCTTAAAGTGATAAAAATTCAAAATTTTAAGAAATAGAGAAAAAATACGAGACTGTCATTAAACGACATTCGTCATCAGTTTTCCGCCCAAGAGCTTTGCGTGGGAATAAAAAAATGTTAACGCTGCAATATTTATTTTCATTATGACGTCATTACAGCCGGACGATATTTAATCAACTGTGTCCGTGTATTTTGCGAGGAATCTATCTCGTAGCGTAATCGCGGGAAACGGATCGAAGTAGCTGCATCCCTGACCTTAGCTCGTAGTTTATACCCGGAGATTGAGTCGACCGGTCTCTCGACGGTATTACGAACCGAAATTACACGGCTCTGACGAAACGGGTCGAGTAAGACTTGGCGGCCGTGCCAATAAACTCGGTGTTTTCCGAAAATTTATTTCCGTTGCTGCGTGCGCCGCACAGCGCAACTAGAAGCGCGGCGAGGGTATTTTTACGGGCGAGTCGCGTCGTGACGCGACGTCGCGGGATCGATGAATGAGAAAGAAAATACGACTTGCTGGATCGTACTTATAGTCTATACCCGAGATACAGAATTCGAAAGTAACAAGATCGACAAACTCCGACTGAAAAACATTCGAAAAAACTCTCTAAATTCTTTAAAGTCGAATCTCACTTCTAAAGTGACTATTCAGCTATAGTGAACTTCTTGTGAAAAGAAGTGGTTCAATTTTCAATCTTTAAAAATGAGATTTTTATTTTTCAGACTGAGTTTTCACTCTAGAAAGTTTTAAAGAGGAGGAGTAAGTATTAAAGTTTTGGTGAAATGAGATTTAATGGAACAATTAGTTATGATTATTATTATGTTTCGTAATATTAAAAATTGCACCAATACGCTGAACAAAATACATTTAGTAATCATCATCACGTTTTTCAGTAAACGAGTATGTTGAAAAAAAAAAATTAAATTTTGATAAACATTTGTTTGAATAATACTAATTGTAAACATATTTATTCAATATAAGGATCATTAATTCGATTTAAATATCACTTTTATTAAATAAATATTTATTTACTGTAAGTAAATGTTAATGATCTTAAACAAATATTTCTTAAAATTTAGTATATATTCAGTGCAATCGTTCGTGATTCTATATTCGTCTCGATAGATTCGTGATTAACGAAATGAAGGAAATTCCCTCCCGGATCGGTCGGGTGCTCTTGTAGTCTCGAAAAAGAAAAAATCCCAGGTCGCGCTCATGACCATACCTAATGTCAAGCATCACTACCTATTATAGGCTCTATATAGCGTTTGGTCAAGGTGGAGAACAAAAGGGAATAAAGTTTAGACTAGGGCACGACTGCTAACAGATGCAGGACAGCATATGCAAAAAAAAAATGGCGTACGTGTGTGTGTGTATCACACGTACGTCATTCGCATGCAAATCCTTTCTTCCCCCGAAATCAGACGCGCCTCTTTTTAAACTATCCCCAGCTAGACGAAGGGGAGCGACTTAAAAAGGACTTAATCCTGTTGAGACTAGCTACTAATAATTATTAAAAGCACGAAGGAACATTTGGCTTTTCATTTTTTTTTTTTATTAATAACGTATATTTTCGAAATAAAAGTAAAAATATTGACTGCGACGTTCACTTGAATTCATTGACACACAATTAAGAAATCATTGATAATTAATTTAACAAGCTACACTTTATGTGTACGTCACGATTAAATGTATGTATTAATAATTAATGAAAGTATATCAAGTGTATAAGCATGGCACGTGTGCACAACAAATACCAGAATTATTTTGCAAGATTTTAAAAAGCGCGAATACATTTCGCCAGTCACGTGGCGAACTCGTGAATCATTCCTGTCGACAAACGCAAACCTCACCCTCCTTAGTTTAGTCACAATCCAGCTGTCGAAGCTACGTTTTCGGGGGTAGGTCCCCGACATCATCGGTCTAGCACGGCGGCGGGTACGAACGTAATTCCACGGGGTTATACCTTGGGAACGATAATTCTGTCCGACAACTTTTTTTCCGAGGTCATCGAACTCTTAACAAGATTCCGTCGATATTCCCGACTCGAAATCGATTTGGCCTTACACCAGTGGAGAACGAAGCGCAAAGTTATTTAGAAGTACCGAGAACACTCGTAAATATAGCGTCACGCGAAACATTTGTTAATTTAATAATAAGACAACTCCACTTCTATTCTTGTAGACATAATTACGTTCCCGAGAGAATATCTATACAAAATTGATGTCATAACCAGTAAGAAAGGCTTGTTTGCGATACTTATCGTTGAAGCAATATAGAACTTTGCAGTAAAGGAATTTACTAGCGCATTGTGGATCATTAAGGATCCACGTTTAGTTGTACCGGTCGAAAGTAAAAATATAAATAATAAGCTGCCTGTTGTAGTATATACAAATAAAATAGCCGATTCTCTTATGATTAGATTAGATAAGGTCGCAGTGCGTTAAATCATCTTTGGTCAAGGCAGGTGATGATCTCTAGATACTGCCAACAATAAAGTTTCAATGCTGGCAATTATAGATGAATGAATCTAAGAATACCGTATAAATACCGCAAATACCTGCTGGATCCGAGAATAGATTTATTTAGTTTTAACTTTGACTCTTTTCTCACTTTTTTACTACTTGGACATTGCGTAACAATAAATTTGAGCATTGATTAACCTAATTGTCGTCACGGTATGCTTATATATATTTAAATAAGTAAATTATTTTTAACTGAAATTTAATATTTCACTGCAACCGAAGGATTCATTTTCTACCTCGAATCGTGACTACTCGAGTGTGTCTACTACGGCTAAGCGATTTTTTTCAGGAAAGGTTCATTAATCTGGTACGTCGTGCAACGCCAAGATTACACGTGATCAATTCCTCGTCCATTTTGTCGTGCGAGAGAAATTGCCGGTGAAGTATGAAGTGTGTGCCCCAATTAAAGCTTCAATGCGTTAACCACTGATGTTTCGTGGAACTCACGAACAATTAACATTCGCAATTAGAATTGATGATTTAATTTATAATAATAATTATTGTGATTTTAATTTTAATTAAATTGTAATTTAATATATATTATCTTCCGCGAGGAGAAGGATCTCTCGTCGGAAACAATTTAGTGATGAAAATTAAATTATTTATTTCCTTCGGTATATTATTTTGAATACAAAATTTCCAAAATACAATTTCTGTAGTCGGCTTACAGTCAATTAAATCAATTTGATACGTAATAATTGAGGAAGGTGACAAATTAATTTTTCAATAATTCGTACATTCATTAGAGCAAGCAGTTTTAAACAACCGTCTGCATCTGTTATATATTTCCTATTTTGAGCACCGATTACGTGGTCGTCCGCAACATGTTACAGCGTATCAGAGACGTATGTATACACGTAATGCATATATAATGAGTGCGTACGTGCGCGCCTCTATAAGGCGATCATATTGTATACACGATGTAGGAAGAGAGAGAAAGAGAGAGGCGCGGAAAAGCTCCATTGATTGGTCGGTGGCACGGTGGAACGTTGCAGCTATCCTGGGGGTATATGAACCCCGCTTATATATACGCTTCTCTCTCTACCATTTCCTCTCTCGCTCCTCTCTCTTTTTTTCTTTCCCTCTCTCGTTCTATCTCTCTCCCTCTTACTCGCGTGTACCCTCGCTACGATTTTACCCCGTAGTGAAACGCAGGCGCGTCACATGGACCCAGGAACGATCAATACACTGGTTCCCCAACCAGACTTGGTCTCTCTCGTTCTCTCTCATTTATTATCTTTCTCTCTCTCATTCGTTATCTCTGTTATTCTCTCTCTCTCTCTCTCACTCACACTCATTTTCTCTCTTTTGTTCTCTGTTTCTATTTCGCTTTTTTATTCTCACGGTTCCATCTTACATCAATTCTTGCATTGTAGTTAATCTTTGATATTTCGGTGTTCGTTCCAGGACGAGTCATGATTTCTATGCCAGACATACAGAAAAGTCGAATGTTCAATCGAAATTGACTTTTCACTTTCCAATCACTCTTGTCATCCTTTGCGCACACAATCCTAGTTCGAATGTATAAATTATACAACTCTTATACACACTTACTATTAAATATTACTTAAAAACATGCAGATAAACAATAAAGTTTAAACGTAACGAAAAGAGAACTTACTTTCCTATTTTCAATACGTTTATTTACATATTGAACATAAAAGAACAGCTTCGACTTTTTGAAGCTCAAACCTCGCCGAGATTTGTTCTCCGTAAAAAAAAAATTGATATTGAATCTGGTGTTCACAGCTTCAGTTATCTAGCAGTTTAATAAAAGAGAAAAGCGATATCAATTGATCTCCATTGGCTATATATTGTTTAGCTCTCCCTCTCTTTAGCTCACGCACCATTGTAATCGAAGCCGTCGCGGACGGAAGTGTCCCTCTCGAGACATCCTGCTTGTCCTCGACAAGGACCAGCGGTCCCGGTCCTCGCTCCATGCCGGATCTGCTTGATGCTTCATCATGCATCACGAAAGTTCGATGTCTCCTCTCTACTGCGTTATTTCAATTTGCTGTTTTTCGGTCGGTTCGCCGCAGGATCGATAAGGGGTTGGATCAGGAAAGAGAGAGCGCGCAAGAGAGAGAGAGAGAGAGAGAGAGAGAGAGGATGGGAGGGCGAGAGGGAAGGGGCGAGAAGTATATGCATGTGTATGTTTTATGCGTATACGTGTATGTATGTGCGTATATATTACGACGTTGGTGCTCCCGCGACAGTCGCTTTCTGGTGCCACGCCCAGGGAGAGAGAGAAAGAGCGCGGTCTGGTGCACACACAATATCGCACCGTGCGTAAGCGTCAGCTGCTGAACGCAACCGTTCGCGATTATGGCGGACTGACGTTAAATGCAACAACTTCGCCGGGTTAATGAGCTCCGCGGTGGCTCTAGTTTCGCGTTTTACCCTTCTGAATGCATCTCTCGCGTGGAATCACGCAATTGCTTTTTACACAACTTCGGTTCTTACCGCGCGTACTAGGACAGAGACCTTGAGTACGACACCTTGCGCAACGCGCTGCAAATTTGATGAAAATCAATAACTGTGGCGTAATGTTCCCTGTTATATAAATCTCTGTTTTTACTTATTAATATTTCTTACGCGCGATTGACGATTAAAATTGAATTTTGTCATTCTGAAGAGTGAATCTCATTCTCAGACCCAGTTTCACAACTCATGGTTAAGTGTTAACCGTGAGTTGTGAAACATGAACCTTAAAGGTTGAAAATTGTGGGCTATTCTCTTTCAAGACTGGCTCAATTAATCAATTTTCATTCTTTAGAGTGAGATTCTACTCCAGAGAATTTAGAGGGTAATGTGTATGGTACATTACGAAAGATTATGTGTATGGCAATAAAAGCATCTGCTTAAGATTAAATTGAGAACAGCAATGGCTGCACCTGCACACGGGAGCACCATAGGAAAATCTTGGACTTAAAAGGATAACCTAAATATGATATACCGGAAGATTCCTCGCATGAGAGAAATCCCCGGCACGGGGGATGAACGTATATACGTAAAGATCGGTAGCCGATCGGCGTACGATCGACGTACACAAATCCGCTAGTAAATAGTTAAGAATTATAACGGTAATAATAACAACAATAATAACAAGATAATAATAACAATAATGATAAAGATTCGTGAGAATCACAGAAACAACGAAAGTAAAGAAACAAATGAACATACCGGTTAACGATGAAAATCAGTGGTTGGAGGATGCCGATACTGGGCGCAGAACGGAACGGCGGTGGGTTCTACTTAATTACTTTTATTTTTCTATTACGCGATATTTCGTATGTATTTTCGCGGCTGCGTTTCCCCGTATCTTTGTACTCGTTTTCTCTTACTTTATTCTCTTTCAACAAATTTCTCAACAAACTTTACGACGCGACTTGGAACATTCGAACCGACGATCGCGCGATCAACGTGGAGGCCGGTTTTCGATCATCGAACACGAGTCCTGGCATCGAATTCCATCGAGAACGTGAACTCGGGTGCCGGATTAATTGTGAACACTTGATAACTATAACTTGCGACAAGAGATAAACAAATCTCGCGCGCGACGAACACACCCAGTGTCTCTCTTTCACTCCCACCCCCGACCAGCAGGACACACTCCTATTTATGTCCCTCTTTCTATCTCTTTCTTTCCCTCTCTCTCTCTCTTTCGTTTTGTTTTTGCTGGTGCCTCTTCTGCCGATTAAAAGATCTTCCAGCTGACGATTTCGTTGATCACGCTACCGCGGTTCCTCGTTAACGCGCTCAACTCTCGTTCGCTGATTTCGTTTTCTATCTCCACGTTATCACGTGAAAAGATTATGCACCATATTAAGCGCCGATTCGTATTTTCAAATTATTATCGTGACGCGTTAAGTCGATCAGAGAGATTGTTCATCGAAAAGGACAAATGATTAAGACATCAAGAAATGCTTCTTGGGGCCAAGTCAGGAGTTACGAATTAATGGAGAACGTAGGATTAAGACTCCAACAAAATTATAAGATTGGAAGAATACGGAAGAGCCGTTTCTCTGTTTTATCTTTGACCGATTCCACCCGGCAAACTTATCTTCTCGTGCGATATTCGCGAGATCCACCTTTCGCTTCTCTATAACTTTTTCTGGCGCGCGAGTTTTCTTGTGACAGTGTCACCCGAACGGCGAATAACAATGTCGCTCGATCGACACGTGGACGGGACAAAGCAGCAACAACGAACTGAAAACCGTTAGAGAATGACGACAACGACGGCGACGACGACGATGACGACGACGACGACGACGATGAGAGCAACAGCGACGACTGTTTTTCTTTTTATTTTTTTTTTTTTTTGACGACGAACGATACCGAACCGAGTATTTTCCTTTTTCTTTTTTTATGCCGAATTGAAAGGTCAGAAATTAGGAGATATGCAAGCAAATAGTAAGAATGTTGCGGGTATAACGGTGTCTACAACGCAATGCCTTTATGTGGTGCGGTAACTAAACTGACGAGGTTGAGTCCTAATACCAACGGCTGCACCCTCCGGACGCCTGCTGCCGCCGCCGCCGCCCCCACCGTCTGGGGTTGTCTCGGGGGTGGGATAGACTCGGGGCGAAAAGAATCGCGAAAAATCCTCGGTCGAGGGAGATTGGCACCGATACACGCAGACGCTGTCGTCGTCGGTGAAAGGTGAAGGAGAGGCCGAGAGCAGCGCGGGAGAAGAGGTCGGAAGGGATGTGAAGGCGGAAGAGGTCCGGGAGAGGAGAAGGGTGGCAGTGTGGAGTCGACGGTGCTGGGAAAGGGGTGGAAATTTGCGCAAGCGTGATCGTCAGCCTCCACATACCGACCGCTGGAGGTTGGTTGGTTGGTTGGTCGGTTGGTTTGTGTGTGTGTGTGTTGCCCCGATGCACATATTTCCAAACATCGAGCGCGCATCGCGGCGCAGCTATGGAGAGATTTTTTCAGTCATTATGCGCACGAGACATTCTCGTGATAAATGATGCTTTCCTAGGAGGGGGAGATGAGAGTCCTATTGATTAAAACGATCATCCCGGGAGGAAACTACCACCCTCGCGTCGGTCATTGCACGAATAGATGCAGTTACACGGCTGTTCCATCGACTGGTTCGGTTTAAAACATCTCCGAAATGATCTTTAATTACATCCTTATGAAACAATAAACCTAATAACATATGTCTAGAATTAGAGAGTCCTAATTTGAATATTTGGTGCAGAACGTAGTTCGATCGGTTTTAAATTGTACTAGAAATCGATACAACAGAGAATTTTTAAGAATGTTCATAGACTATTCTAAAAATGTACAAATATTCATAGAACACGTTCATAGATGTTCTATGAATATTGTGTGTTATCTAGAGGAATATTTTATGCAATTTAATATGCTAAGGAGAGAGGAAAGAGATGGTTATCTCTAAGCCTCTTAGAAAGTGTAATAATCTGGATACATAAATAATTCAAATAACGCGATCGCAGTTATTTATAGACCAATCGATAGTTTACGGAAAAGTATGGGCCGACATACAAACCGGTCTCTGTCTTAGTCGAACGATATTTCACTCGTCCCCGACACCTCTATTGTGAGAGTAAAAGTAGACGGAGAGAAGGTGCACTGTATAGGTGAAAGGTGTGAGAAAATTCCATCAAACACGGAAAATAGGTAAGAGAGTGATGAAAATTTACGCAAAGATATTAATTTGCAAAAATGGAACAAAAATATGATTAAAAAAAAAGAGATAAAGATGTAAAAAATAAAGAAAGAAAGAGAAAAAAGATTCCAACTATAAGACAATAAATGCCAACTTCCAAACCGTTGAACCTATTGTTAGTAGTGATGGATTAAAAGAGGAAAGCAAGATACTTAAATTAGAAAAAACGTGCGAAAGAGTGCGTGCAATTTTAGAACGAAAGTTAGTATCTGTTAACTGTAGCATTCATCACACGGACCGATCGATCGAGCTACATTACGGCGGCCGATCTTCGCGGGAGGCTGGCATGATTAATATCATGAGTGTATACGAACTTTTGAACAACCGTACATCGCCTCGATTATCAAGGGGAAAGGGGAGAAACCAAAGAGAAAGGGGAGAGAGACATCGAGAGATGGGGTTGAGGGTGAGAGTAGCAGTCGTCATAAGTACGCACGCGCCGGGGTTTATGGCAAATGGAGGGGTTGATGAAGGACTGAATTGCGCAAGCGTTGGACAGAGGGTGTAAAAGCTTGTCGGGAGTGCCCGTTCCCTCGGCAAATGGCTTTTCGGTAATGCAAACGCGGCCAAATTTCATCATACTACGAATCCTATATTTCATTCGATAAAATATGTAAAACTACGCTTCTTGCACTCTCTCTCTCTCTCTCTCTCTGTTATTGAAATTTTGTCGTTCATAGTGATGAAAATCGCCCTTAATTTGGTCACGAGAAATAATTTTTCGCACGAAATATTGTGAATGTCGACAGTCTTTTACTATTTGGTTAATTAAAGCTACGCAAAACACTGTTTGAAAAAATTGCATTGTGCCAACAAAATACATATTATTTTACAAATTTATATTAAAAAATAGTTTAATACAAATTACAACAAAATCATTATGTTTTCTTTACGATAAAAAATAGGCTTCCTTTATTATATTTATGCAACAATAAGATCTGTATACGTTATCAAGTTAATATCAAATAGCTGACTAAATAGCTTGTATGGACGGTAGAACTTAAAAAGTCCACAAAGTAAACTGCGAACGCGTTTATCTCATGGCTGCGATCTCATCTACGATCAGCGACCATGAACGATAGCGCAAACGTATGTGAGGTCTATCGATCGCTTCTTTTTTATATACATATGCGTGGGTCTGTCTGTTTCTGTAACGTTAGGCGCTCGTTAACGAACCTCGTGACGAACGATTTCTTAATGACTCACGTTATATGGATGAAGATATAAGGATCGATACAATTGTATCAGATACAATGATATATTCAGAAATGGTTTCGTTTGCGTCACATTTCGATATTACAAGATATAAGAGATAGGCGAGTGGCGTAGAGCAAAGGAGCGCTGTTGTGGAACAAAGGAAATAAGAGAGAAAGAGTCATTGGGGAGAAGCGAAAAGGGACAAGAGAGACAAGGGGTGTAATCTAATGGTAAATAGCACGTATGCATATAAGGGTCAGTCGAAGTGCGTCAGTGGCGTAGGAGATTGAATACTGCTTATCAACGTACGTGAAAAATATCCAATTTTGTTAAAAGACCTTGTACGTGTGATATATAATAAAATATAATAAATATATACAGAGAAACGTATAAAAAAATAATTCAATGTTACTATCAATTCTTATTGATATTATACACTTCTTTATATATATTTATTATGTTATATGTTATATAGTATATGTGTCATAGTATATCCAGATTTTCTGCATAATTCAAAAACATAAAACATCACGTAATATTATAATAAATTATAATTATATTAATTATTATAGTAATATCATATACGTGTATATGCATATAAAAGATATTAATTAAAATTCTTGTTTTTCAGTTTACTAAAGAGTAACAAACTTTATGTAATGTTTCAAAAATTACATCTCTTCGTTATAACTTATAATAATATTTTAATACAATTATAATTTATTTTATAATGTTACGTAACATTTTATATTTTGAAATTATGCAGAAAATCTGATAGTAAATTTAGTACTTGATTACTTTCGTGTATATAATTTTAAATTTGTATATTTATATTGTAAATATGAGATACTGGCAATAAATTTCAGAAAGAGAAGAAATAACTCACGTACCAAAGTCTTGACATATTTAGAAGCGTCAGCTAAAAATAACTGATCGAACGATGAAAGAAACTTATGCCTATCCTTATATCCCCGATCTTGTTAGAATTATAGTATCTATAATTTCTAGAAAATAATTTACAAGCACAAATTGCTCTACGTCGCAGTCATGACGTCGATGTTGATGTCGACATCGAAGTGCCCCGAAGCTACCGTCGAGTGTGTTGGCAGTGTAACCACTTGTAAAACTCACCGATCGCCAACGATCGATCGGCGCGGGTCATGCCCATCCCACGTCTTAATCGCCAGAGGAGTCTAGACACCTCTTTCAGAGGAGGTCGCATAAATTCCACGAGAGGACGGCGCAGCGGATAATTTACGGGGGCGCTCGTCCTCTTTGTGCTCCCGTGTGTCCTGGGAAGACCGGCGCGCCCATTTCATCCCGGGCGACGGCCGCGCCTCCTTCCTACGCCACTGCGAGGGTAGACCGAGGGGTGCCAGCGTCAGACGGAGCCGCCAGCCGGGGTTTGGGGGGATGCTCGGGTGGAGGGGGGGGGGGCCACCGGGGGGTCTTTCGAATATCGATCTCTCCGCGTTCTCGCAGTCATTCACTCTCTCTCGCGCAGTTCCACGCTCGTCCCTCTTCCCGCACTCGTTTTGCGCACCCAGTACTCCCACAAAGTAGTGGAAGGGGTGTGGAACAGGATGCGGAGAGACGGCCAAAAGGGGGGTTTCATCCGGAGGTCCCAGCCAAAGCCCGGGGGAGGAGGGCATTCACCAGGGAACGCGCGCCGCCACCAACTACCGCCGTCACTACTACCACCACCACTAACCGACATCCAGAAAAATATCCTCCGAGATCGGAGGGAAATTGGTTTACCGGATTCTGCGCGCCGTTTATACGGAATTATCCTCCATCTATCTCTTCACTCCTCTTTGTACCATTTAATTTGCATCCTATCTTTGGAAATTCGTTACATCGTAACCTGCTTCGGTTTTTGCGACTGTTTAGTGTTGTAGGAACATTGAGAATAAAGATAGGAGAACAGATCACTGTATGAATGAGATAATCGGACCCTATATCTGTAAGGTCCAGTATTCAATATGCTCTACACTTTGTGTTTGTAGATAAGACCCAATACAACCTAAGTATTTGTTCTCTTTTTCGTAAAAAAAAATATTTAAAAAGTGAAAGATAAAATAATTTAATGTTACTTTTATGAAATGTGTATGCAATATAGCGTAAAGGCTACTTTTTCTTAAAATCTTCATTACAATCATGTAAATATTTGAACATCTCATATTTTTGAAAAATATGTTTCGACATGTTTCCTCGTTTTTGAATCTTCGTCAGTTTATAATTTTAAACCCAGCAAAACGTTAAAAAAAATCATAAAGCTTAGATAGATCATACAGGATCCGGTTACCTTACTTGATATCGTAGAGTGCAATTAATTATTTTAGCACTGTTGTGCACGATTAGTACCCAATCATTTTTTAAGATATCCGTTCTTTATCATGATTGATGTATTAAAATTATATCAATATCGGCAACAGACTACTATTCTCATGTAAATTGTACCCTCTCCAAATTCTTTGGAGTAAAATTTCACTCTAAAGAATGAAAATTGAGCCAGTTTAAAAACTGAATGGCTCAATTTTCAATCCTGAAGAGTGAGATTTCACTCTTTAGAGTGAGCTTTCGTTCTAAACATTTTATATAGTTTATTTTATATGCGGCATTAGATTCGTTTATATCATATATCGCGATTTCGATTCATTTGCCCTATATCGTTCTTAAAATTCATTGGCAATTACAAAAGGCAATTACAAAAAAACGGATAAGTGGCCAAGTCGTCATTTTGCTCGTAAAAATTGTAGAAATATCTTGCAACTACTCATCCGCCCATATCATCCTTCTTCCTTCCTTTTCTCCAACCCGGGGTTATCATTCCAAAACACAATTCAGGAGTAGGTATCATTATGCTCATCTTATCGGCCATGTTGCACGCGCGTTTACAGGACATTAGGCTTTGTGCAGATCTAGAAATAACTACATATGTGCTGTAGAGATTATATCTCCGCAAGAAAAGCGACACAAATAAAAAATTATAAAGTTATGGAGAGACAAAAGAAAATTGTATATTGAACTTGATTAATTATAACAATATTAAGCATAAATTAGAGCTAATCACAAATTGCTTGTTTCATATTTAAATCTAAAAATAATTTAGATATTAATTTGTTAATAATGTTATGTTATAAAAGCTACCTCTATTTTAATTTGTATTATTTTTCTCATTTTCAATTCTTTTCTATTTGCTATTTGAATTCAATTATATCATTTTTTCCAATATATACACACATAAAACATAAAATTCAAAAAATTTTGAATATG